TAGTGACATGCCCTATTTAGTCTCTGAGCCAGTAGGTGGTGTTTGTGGGTGAGATTCGACCACATCCTTTCACCCTTAATGATGAATCAGTAGATCCAGTAAAAGGGTGTGCAGGATGACCTCCCTGTCAATAGGTGACACTTGCAGGGAGGAGCGAGTTGCAGTGCTGTTTTTGGGTCCTGTAGCTAGCTCTTATTCCTGTAGAGAGGCCCTCTTGTGCCTCGGGTAGTGGGTGGGGCCCTGGGATTTCCAGGTGTGTCCTTATTCTCCCCCTCAGTGGGAGGAGTGAGCCCCCCCCACCTCTGGGTGGGGCTGGGTTGGGCAGGGCTGCCCTCAGGCTGCACAACTGCTGCTAGCAGGTTCAAAGGTCTACTCTTTGTTTCTGTGCAAAGCTGCCAGGAGGGGCTGAAATTGGTCCACTCAGCTGAAAGTCTGGGCTTGGGGGCTGGAGCTGTCCAAGACCCGCACTCTGGAGCAGTTCTTGCTCCCTCCAATCTCCCCCACTCCGTGGCCTCTCCCAGGCCTCTGCCAGCAAGCAGGACCTCAGGCCTATGGATCTCCCCTGGCTGTGAGGTGGGCCGGGAGGTTCCCTGCTCAGGATGGTAGCCTGAGCTGTCCTTATTCTCCCCCTCAGTGGGGGCAGGACCGGGAGTGAGTCTGGGTGGGGCTTGGTTGGATAAGCCTGCCCTCAGGCTCCACAGCTGCTATTAGCAGGGGTCAAAGTTCTGGTCTTTGTTTCTGTGCAGAGCTGCTGGGAAGAGCTGAAATGGGTCCACTCAGCTGAAAGTTTGGGCTTGGGGGGTGGGGCTGTCCAAGACCCGCACTCTGGAGCAGGTCTCGCTCCCCTCCAATCTCCCCCTCTCCCTGTTCTCTCCCAGGCCTCTACCAGCAAGCGGGGTGTCAGGCGGATTGATCTCCCCTGGGTGTGACGTGAGCCGGGAGGTTCCCTACCCAGGATCATAGCCTGAGCTGGGTGCACAGCCCTCTTTTAGGAGGAGGGCTGCCGCTCAGGCACGCTGATCTGCCCCTGAAGGCGCATGCTCCTCAGTAGGCTCTTTCACAGATCTCTCCTCCGTGCCCCAGGGCAGTGCGATCGTGACCTGGGTGTACGGGGTCTGGTCTGCAGGTCTGACCCCTGGACCCTGGAGATCAATCCCTGACTCTGCCAGGGGGAGAGGCGCTGGTCCCGAGTCACCTACAGGGCGCCCACGCTGGATCGATTTCACTCCACCTCGGGATTTGCCCCACTCTCCTGGAGTGCCCAGGCAAGTAGCACCTGGCAGGGCTGGCGGGTAGGGAACTTGCAGTCTGAGTACCCCTCAGTCTGTTTTAGGGCCCGAAAAGGAAAGGTCCCGATCCTTGGAGGTGCCTCCGTGTGATGGCTAAATTGTCTCTCTGGGCACCCACGGGTAGGGAGGGGTAAGGAGAGAATGGAGTACTATGGCGTCTGCCGCTAGGCTTGGATCTGTGCCCGGGGAGGTGCCCCGAGGGGGCTGGGAGGCCGGCGCTGAGTCCGCAAGAGGCCACTGCTCACCGGTGGCAGCCGTCTCTGGGCTGGTGTCGGCAGGTCTCTCCAGCCGCTCAGGAGCCACCCGCAGTCCGAGATGCAAGGGAGGGGGAAGTTCACCGCTCCACCTACCGTTGTCGCTGGTCTCCAAGCCTCTCGGGACCTTTCTCCTTCCAGTTCTCCTCCTCAGCGTCTTCCCGTGGAGTCTCCTGTAGTTTCAGGCACCCTTCCTTCCGACCCTCACCTGATCTGTGTTTCTCTGCTCGCTTATTTTTTTTCTCTTTCTTCTAAAATTCGTCTTTTTTGCAGAGACCTTCTGACTGGCGGCTTGTCTCATCCGCCATCTTGGCTCCTCCTCCTGGTGGTTTAAGTTTTAACAGATCAGAGTGTAATTTCGAAGGAACATCTTTTAAAGTAGTTTTTTAAATTTATAAAATTTATAAATTTCAAACATAAAAACTGCCTTATATTTCCCGCTCAGATTTAACAAGCAATTTCAACGTATTACCATATTTGCTTCATATCTTTTTTTTCAATTAAATACAGCCTTACAGATCAAACCAAGCAACCTCTCTCCACACACCCACAGACACCTATCACCATCATTGGTAACCTGCTGTCCAGAAGTTGATAATGTATCAGTTCACAAATATATGTGGACAGATAACCTAACACATGTGTAGGTATAGGTTATTTCTACTCTTTCACTGGTACGAACAGTAGAGAAATTAGATTCTTATATATGTCTGTCTGCTTATGTACACATGTAAGAAGAGTTCCTCAGACATAAAAAAGTTAAAACTACAAAGGAAAGAGAATTTACAAGTCTGACTATAATCACACTTAAAGCTTCTGTTTTACAAGATAACATGAACAAAGTGAAAACACAAGCCACAGGGAGAACATTTGTAACTGTATAACCAACAAAGAACTAATATCTAAATTGTATACCAAATTTCTGTAATGAATTTGTCAAGTTTTATGTGTGTACATTAGATCACAGGCGCTGTCACTGGCCATAAGAACTTACTGTTTGTTGTGTCAGTGTATGAGACGTATGTTAAAAATTCCCTAGTATTTTTTGGATTTGTCCATTTCTCTATGTAATTATATTAATTTTTGCTGTGTGTATTTTGAGGCCATGTTATGTGTGTATATACAGGTACAAAATTGTATTTTTCTGGTGAATTATTATTTATCATGATTTCTATTCCCAATTACGTATTTTGAGAAAAAAATCTGATCTAACTAGAACTGCGCTTTCTCTTAGTTAATATCTATCTTGTATATCTTTTTTCAGTCTTTTACTTTCAACTTTTCTTATTTTTTTCCTTTTCTTTCAAATGTAACACAAAGCCTGTTTGTTTCCCCTTCAGCACAGGTGTGACTATTACAAACCTCATATAGCTATGTTTAGGTTTCTTGCATAATCTAATCTTGTTTTTCACCAGCCTAGTTTAGTCAGTTTGCATTTGTGGTGATTACTGACAAATTTGGATTTGTCCTTTATTATTTTAATACTTTCCATATAGTATGCTTTTTCTTTGCTCCCTCCTCCTCATCCCCCCAAGTCCTATGTTCATTAGTATTGCTCTGGTATTCTTTATTCCCTTGTCCTCCCTTCCTCTACTGATTTGGAAGTTACACATTCTTTTTATCCTTTGGTGTTGCCCTTAATATTTTTTGACATATATATATATAAAGTGTAGATTAATAGTATCAGTACTCTCTTTCCAATGCATTGTTGTAAGACCTTAGACTACCTTAATGTAGATGTCTTCTCTGTCTTACATGTTCTTATCATCTAGCATTTTAGTGCCACTTTGTTTCTACACCCCAAATTAAATGATTATTATTACTGTTTATATAGTAAAGCTTGTTTAGATGTATCTATATGTTTACCATTTTCTTTGCTTATCATTGCTGCTGTACCACTCCTACCTTCGGGGTTCTTTCTTATTAAGAATATATGATTTCTCTTCATTTAACCCTCAAATTTAGAAATGAGAGCACTGTCATGAGAGATCTGGCAGTAGACTCCATGTTGTCTCTTGTCCTTGTGTAGAGTTGCTGTTCTTATTTCAATACTGGGTCTTACACAAACACAAAGGAGAATTTAGCAATTAATAAAGGTAGCATTTCAAATCAGTGGGGGAAAGTAAATTTTTTTATAACAAGTGGTTAGCTATATGGGGGGGAAACAACAGCTGGAGCTCTACGATTATATATTGTGTCAAATCCTGGCTCTGACCTGACCTTCTTGACCTCTCTAGGTCTCATGAGTCTTAACAGAAGATGAAAATGATAATACTTACCTGACAGGAGTAAATGAAAATAATACATATGAGATACTTAGCATACACAGTAATTGAGACATAAGAATCATTTAATAGTGGTAGTCATGAATAAAATTTTTCTTGCTCATTTTCTCTTTTTAATCTACACATAAGTTCAGTATAATGATTATGTTATCCCAAGTCTGTTGTGTGGCTAGGACAGTCAGTTGGCTAGACTATAAATTTAGGTTGGGGAGCAAAACTATAGGTGTTGAACTCATGTTGAGGTGGTAGAATACCAAAGCATTATAGTTAAATGAAGTAAAGTAGAGGACTTTTTTTGTGATGGACTCTGAATTTAATGATGTAGGCTCTTTGCTAAGTACTAATATGTTCAACATATTATAGAAAAGTGAGAGGTACCAAAATGTATCCAACAGTGTTTGAATGTCTGTTCTTCCCCATCGTTCCACAGTGTATCTAGTAAGACTTACTTCCATCTTGCTCATAATGACAAATAATGAAAATTAAATTTCAAATTTCTAAGTTTTTATGGCTAAAAAAGTCTTCTAGAAACTGAAAATACTTCATTGTTTCTCCTCCCGTGTTATAATGTGCATAACTTTCTTTAACTTAAGATGGGTGTTCAGTAGTATCCTTTGGAGTATATTTTGTATTTGTTTTTAAGCATGTTTCATATTTGTTTAAGGTGGATAGGCATGTAGACTTGCTAGAAGTTGCCCAGGAAACTGATGGGTTTTCAGGAAGTGACCTAAAAGAGATGTGTCGAGATGCTGCCCTTCTCTGTGTCAGAGAATATGTTAATTCTACATCAGAAGAAAGGTATGTGTATTTTGACTTGATTTCTAGTATTTGTCAAAACCTTTTAGATCTTTCAGGTTGGTTTATTTTGCTTTACAATAGTAACCCTGCTTATGCAATAAAAGGTAAATTTGAATTAGCAACCTCCCACCCAACACCACCAACAACAAATCTATTTATTGCCATTTTTCTAAAAGGGAGTTCTGAAAATGAATGGGGAAGGGATTGTCGGGAAAATCTAGAATGAAGGAGGAAAAAGCTTAATTTCTACTGATCGTCCATAGAATGGGTCACAGAAAGCTGACAGAAACCTCAGGTGGCCCATCTCTATTAGGAAAACAGGGTTTTCTAGCTAGATTGCTTCTACATCTTAAAGTTCATTTCATGTAGAAATGAATGTCTTATCTCCTAGAAATTTCACATATAAATGTGAAGGGTGTGGGGGTGTTGAGGACTAGACTTTAATTTGTTAAGAAGAATGTCTTTACTGAATAAAGAAACCATTCATCACTGTAGTAAATTTTACTTGACACCAGTTTCAAAGTATGGTGAACTTGAGAAACCAATTTTGTACCAGCCTTACTCCAACAAAGATACTAGTGTACTAGAATAATTCAGCCCTGGTGAACCATGTGCTTTAAGGAAGTTTCCTAAAAGGCCGCTTGCCCCGAACCAGTATTATACTGCATTTCTTTTCAGAATATTAACCTTCTAATGAAGACTCTTAGTAAACTAGTGTACTTTTTGGTGGTTGTAATGAATGAGTTCTCTAACTCTTGCCCCTTTGTTTCTAGATCTCCCTTCCTCAAGGTTTTCATTCCCAGTGACCCTGATTTGCCTATAGTAGTCATGTATTTAATTACATTGTGTTACCATAGCAAGCTTCACCAAATACTTTTTTTTTAGTGGAAAGGAATACAGGCTGTGCTCAGTGGCTCATGCCTATAATCCTAGCACTCTGGGAGGCTGAGGTGGGAGGATTGCTTGAGCTCAGGAGTTCAAGACCAGCCTGAGCAAGAGTGAGACCTTGTCTCTACTATAAAAAGTAGAAAAATCAGCCTGGCATTATGGTACACACCTGTAGTCCCAGCCACTTGGGAGGCTGAGGCAGGAGGATCACTTGAACCCAGGAATTGGAGGCTGCAGTGAGCTACAGTGCCACCACTGCACTCTACCCAGAGTGACAGAGTGAGACTCTGTCTCAAAAAACAAAAAGGATATACGTGAAAGCTACCCTGTCAACCAGTAGCTATGTATGCATTGGTTCTGGACCCATCTGTAGTGGTCCCATGGTGGAGAGGTTCACTTTATTTATTTGTCGCCAAATTAATCCAATTACTTTAGCAAGCTGGGGATCCTTTTTACCTCTGGAGCCAAGAACCTAGCTTCCAAAGGTTTTTATTCTTGTATGTAAGATTAAAAGGAGAAATAACCAACCTATAAATAAATTTTGCTTTAGTAAATTATGTTAATAAGGAAAGACCTATTTTTCTGTTGTCTCAAAGCCCCAAAGGCTTTATATTTCAGTATGAAAAATGAAGATGGACTTGGGTTATCATAACTTTTTCCCTAAGTGCCTGTACAATTATAATGGAGCCATAATATACTGGACTTTGTTTTTCTCATTATTGAAGTGGGAAGGATTTGGAGGTTTTTATTAATAGCAAAGAATTTTACTTTCAATTTGTAAAAAGCAAAACATGCACATGAATATATACCTAGGCATGCTACTTTTTAATTCCAGTTTTTGTAGGAATAATTTGTGATTTCTTGATTGGAATTATATTCCCATTACCCAAAGGGTAAACTGACACTCCTTTGTATAGTATTTGCACCTTATGGTAACATTCTGTACCTTAACATTCTTACAGTGTGAAGTCTTTGATTTTAGCCAACCATTTTAGCTTCCTACTTCTTAACAGTCAATGCTTTTTAAAAATCTCTTAGACTTATATGTGCATAGATAATTCTTGGAGGAATTTATGTGGAGCTGTTAATTGTGGTTATCTTTGGGGTCTTGAATGGTGAAGAGACTTCATTGTTACACTCTTTTGTACAATTGAAAACAAATTTATTTTTACCTCACGCATCTTTTTTTAATCTTGGAAAAATATTTTAAGGAGGTGTATTCTGAAATTATTTGACTGTTTGGTGGTTTTGTTTGCATTTTTAGCCATGATGAAGATGAAATTCGGCCTGTGCAACAGCAGGACCTGCATCGGGCAATTGAAAAGATGAAGAAATCAAAGGATGCTGCATTTCAGAATGTTTTAACACATGTTTGTTTGGATTAAGAGTAAAGATCCTTTGTACAGTTCAGTGATCTAGTTTGGTGTGCCCTCTTATCAGTGGAAACAGAGTGGAAGGAGTGCTCTTTAAACCATGAGGGAGTTCAATGTTTATGGTTTTATACTCTGAATTCTAAGTTATTGAGATACAGTTGTTATATAAATGATATTACTACTTGTCAGAAATCATGAGGAGGAACAATTTAATCCAGCCTGAGCGTGGGTGCTTATGTTTGACCTCTTCAGCCATATGTTGTTGCAGCCTTATAGAATCTAAGCTAGTCTCAAAGTAATAAGTGATTTATTGGGTCATTAATGAGAAATGGGGATGTGGCTAGGTGCTGGTTCTTAGACATGTGCGTGTGTGTTTGTGTGGGTGTCTTAAATGTATATATCCGCATATTTTATATTGACATTCTGTAGATATGTTTGAATACAGAAACTTTTTTTTATCCCAACTACTGAATCCAAAGTACCAAATAGTATATAGCAAAACTAAGATTTAATTAAGGTTGTGTCAAAAAGGTACAGTGATTCAGACATTTCCAGTTGTCATTTGTGTTAGCCTTTTTTTCAGTCTGCAGTTGGTGAGTTGGATCACCCACACCTGAACATATACATGGGCTCAATTATTCTGGTTGTCAGGATAATCAAATAAAAATACTTACTCAGTGATCAGCATTGAATGGTTGTTAGGCAGTCATGTGATCAACACTGATTTAACCACTTTCTGCAAGCACACTGAATAGAGACATTTTTTTAATTTTTTTTTTTTTTTTTTTTTGAGACAGAGTCTCACTGTGTTGCCCAGGCTAGAGTGCCGTGGCGTCATCCTCACTCACAGCAACCTCAAACTCCTGGGCTCAAGCTCAAATTTTAAATTTATTTACATGAAAGGTAGATTGAAAGCCTTTCAAAAGAATAGGTTTGAAAAACCTCAGTGCCCTTCAATACATGTATGTGACTTTCTTTTCTTCATTTAATGTAACAAATAGTTCTGTTGTAACCATGTTTTTTTAAATGTTATTTTAAAGTTATATGTTTTTTAATTATGGTAAAATATAATTTGGTCACCAAAAATGAAACGATAGTTTAAAACAAGTAGCTGTTACTAAATGTGCTAAAAATACTCATTTTGTAACTAAATTTTTTAAGTTTTCTTAGTATATTATAAATTGTGCCCGGGTTAAGTACAAATATACACCTCAAAAATTCCATTTTGTATCTGTAGTCATTTGATGTGAGCTACATATGAAATTTTTTTTGTTCAAAAGTCTGCTAACCAGAATTCTGTTATAGCCACCTAAACACACAGCATGAGGAAAATGGCACAGTACAATCTTGAGATACCTTCTGAATCATCAGAAAGATTAAATTATGCTTCATATGTTTTTGTTTTTATTGTATTTCTTTGAAAACTCTCAGTCTTTAGTCATGAGTTATTAATTTCTCTGATAATGTCTCACTAGAATCTATTAAAAATAGATAGTTTATTCTTCAATTATACTTTGAATGATGGGGTAGAAGTTTCAAGAGAACACTTTGGATAACAAAAAGCAAGTTATGAAAGATTGTGAAGATGATGGAAAAATTGAATGCAAGATACCAAAAATAAAAAATTTTATCCCATTTTTAATAACTATATTATACTATTATTTCATAAATGTGTAATGGGGGGTCCCTCTTTATTGATTTATCTCTGCTTAATCCTTGGTCTTTTTCAGTTATTTTAAATTTTCTGGGGTTTTTTTGGTTTATAAAACTTGTGTTTGGACTTTTTTTTATTTTGCTATGGCACTTTCACACTTTTATGACATATATTCTAGTATCTGATCATTCTGTTTTAATATGAATTTCAGTGAGCATTTAATTTTAATCTGGTAGCATATTGATCAAAAATAAGGAGTGACGTATCCCCCCTTATGTCCTTTCTTTTTGTCTTCTCTTAAATTCAAAATATCCAATAGTAGTAATTATTAAATTTGTCATGGTTTTAATCATCAAATGAAGTTAGACAAATCACTAAACCCAGCAACCTGGACTCATCTAGGCATATCAAGGCCATAAAGTAATTAAGGAAACTTTATTTTCCTATGATTTTAAAGAATTTTAGCACCATGTAATATCTGTCCTTCTGTTTAGACATGCATTCATTTCACATATGTAGTTGGATTCTAGGTTCTAAGATACTTCATTTAGGGTAATACTTCAGAGTACTGGATCTAGAATCAGACTGTCTGAGTTTAAATCCAGACTCCCCATCAATGAACTATGTCTCTCCTTGGACAAGTTACCTTATTTCTTTGAGCCTCAGTTTCTCATCTATAAAATGGTGCAACAGTGTCACCCACCTTAAAGGGTTGAATGAGATAATGCATGTAAGACCCTCAGCACAGTGCCTGGCACAGAGTTACTGCTCGATGTTAGCTATCACATTATTAATGTTATTACTTTTACACACTGATACATGTGTCCTGTTGACCAGGCTCAGTCTTTAAGCATTCTTCATGCTTAAACAGTTTTGTAATCCCTATGCCTTGTACTCTAGGGATCGAGATAGAAAGGATCACCTGTGTGATATTTTTCTAAAAGCCTCATTGCTGGAAGACTTCTGATAAGTCTGATGTGTCTCAGGCTATTCCCAAGGCTTTTTTATTTATTTACTTTTTTTTAGAGTTTAGAAACTCAATATTTGAGTTAATTCAGTATCTCCTTTCCTGTTTCTCTCCTTTCCATCTCATCTAACCCGCCACCTGCAGGTAGACTCAGAACTCGTTAAGAGCTGGATTGGGGTAATCTCTTCTATATGGACCATAATAACCTAACATTATTAAGTAGCTATAGCTTACAGATTTAGTGCTAGATGAGGATATCTCAAGCCTTGAGTGTTCTTGTGTAAAAATGGCAACAGCAGCATCTCAGTAAGAATTTTTTTACTGGAATTGTGGTGTGTATGGATAAATGTTACAGCTTTTTTCTGGATAAAATAAATTGGATGATGTAATTTTCTTTTTAGCATCTCTTAGAATATTGAATAGAATTCTGATACACTGAGCATGTATACTGCATGACCAAAACACCAGCACCAACTGGATGGCTCAAATAAAGCTGTAGTCTAATTCCATCTAGAGCTGACAGAAATCCATATAGGGCCTTCATTATTTAATTAGCTGTAGATTTAGTCATTGAAGAGTTTCCTAACCTTTTCAAAAGTTACAGCTCTCTTTACATGTATAGAAAAAATTTCTGCCCAAGTCATCATGTTTATGAAACCGTGTTTAGGAGAACTTGAACCTTATAAATACAGTATCCTAACCGAATTAACTACATATGCAAATGAGATCAAGCATAAACCATTTAGCAGTGTGAATAAAAACAGAAAATATTCTAGTTACATTGGTGTAAACTTTATACTATTAATATTAATGGCCCATAAGGGTTTCATTATTAAAACACTGAACTGGAGTATATTTTTGTAATTGTCTAATATTTACAGTTATAAGTCTGAGAACACTTTCAGATATTAGCTTTTGTGCTTTTAAGTGAATGTTAGTGCTCAGTGTGGAACGTATCCAGGACCCAGGTTTGTGAACCATGATGGCTCAGATTTAAAACTAAAACCAAACCATTGAAGTAATTACTGACATGCAAACTTGGAACTGATTATAGAACACAATAGTGTATACCACACTTCTGAAGATGCATAGTTTTCCAGAAATTCTGGGAATGACCAAGATAGATAGAGAATGGCTCTATCCAGTAAAACAAAGTCCTTTGTAGGCATGGAACTACAAAGAATACCAGTTAGGATTCTGTTGGAAGCAACCAACTATAGCTAACCTAAAGAATTTATTCGAAGGATATGGAGAGCTCATGAGATCAAATGGAAGCTAAAGAACCAGACTTAGGATAGAAACTTAGAAAGCTCTGGAAGGTTTTCTTAGCAGAAATTGCTCAATAATCTTGCTTTTATTCCTCCTGGATTAAATGAACTCCATCTGTTTAAATTGCCCATTTAAGATTCAAATTCCTGGAAGTGAGTGTGCAAACCAGGTCAAAAAGCACCCCTAGCAATCTTAGGGCTTTGGGAGGACCCTCCAGGAACAACTTTGGCTTAAATGGTTTGAGACAAAGTGTCTGCATTTCCAACTTACCAAGACTAAGTGCAAAAGGAGAGATAATTTGTTCGAAGGAAATTGTGGAGAAGGGTGCTGGATAAACAAAAAAGGACAAATGGCTGAGTGGTCACATAAAGCAATAGATAATATGCCAAATGAAGGGCATTATAACAAGCAGGCATGCTGGAAGTATGAGCAACCTATGTAGGGGGTTTGTGCGGATGGGCCTTCAGGGACTACTGGGTCAGATCTCGTAAGTTACACTTCCACATGCCCAACTGCTTAGATGGATGACTTTTGTACTTGAATTTTTAAATTTGGTTTCTGATGGTATAAAAGGACAATAGAGACTGAAGTATATAACATTGTTTTTTGTTTATTTTATTTCAAGAGAGCGCAAGCCCTTTCCTCTAATAGGATAAAGAAATATACCAAAGAAGTATATTCTGGGGTGGCATATTCTGGCCTTCTACAGTTCCGTCAAACCTTTAGACATAAGAACAGCTGACTGATCTGGTGCCCATGTAATTTGCTGATTTCCTGCCTGTGAGGAAAGTTATGCTGAAGATCAATGCTAGACCTAAAAGTCACATAATAGAAAGGAGGAAGGTGAGGAGAAAACTAACATGCTGTTCTCAGGTAACCAAGATTTGTTTCTTCTTGCAAGGAAGATGGGTTGGAAAAAAATATTGTGGCTTGATAAAAGTGTTGATATAAATTTATAAGATTCACCATCATCTGAGCAAATGATTTATGTACGCCTTTCCAGGATATTTTCACACTGCTCTGAACAGTTTGGCGTCCTTCCTCAGCACCACTGACGTGTTCATGTATTCACACACATATTTCCTGCCCTACTTTGTCCTACTAATTGGCTCTGGGATCCACCAAGTAACATCTGGGGAGAAGGAGGGAGGGACTGTAAATGGCAGCTTTGAATTGGCTGTTACGACTGTTTTATTTGGGGCCAGGATCAGTAGCAAAAAACTGGGACTCGAGGAGAAAAAACAAAGCTGCAGACCTGAAGGGCACAAGTATGGGTGGAAACAGGTATCCCTCCTTTCTGCATTAGTGGAGGTGCAGGGGTTGCTGAGGGGAAAAAAAACCCCAGCTACTTCCAGCCCTGCTGGTGAAATTCATTGGGGGCACGTTGAGAACAAGATCTGTTCCTTTGAGAAAAAGGGAGCAAAGTAGTTTCATCACACATGGGGCTTGGGGTGGGAGATCCTCCTGCAGTGATATTCTGGGTTGAGGCCTCTGAGCAACCCAGCAATCACTGGAAATACCACTGTGAGTGCTCGGCTGAAACCATGTGGCATTAATAACTAGAGCACAGTTTAGAACAGGATGTGAACAAGGGCAAACCGTCTCTTAATGACAGTCTTATAGAGAGTTGCTGCTGCCTCTCTCCAATTACGCAAAGTCACAAAGCCCTCCACAGTCACGTGGTCAACCCACACCCGGTGTTGCAGGCAGAAAAGACTCAGCTTTATATTGAGAAATTTATTAAAATAAGAGCAAGCATCAGTTGTACATAGAAATAATCATTTGCACTAAGTGCAAAACTAGAGCAGAAGAGCAGTTTTAAATATATTTTAAAAATCACAGAATACATTTGGTTAAGGCACTATGTCCTGTCTCATGTTTTCAATAAATAAGGTGTTTTTTAAAAAGGCAGTAGTGAGTACCTCTGATTAAATGCGTATAGTATATATAGGTATATTCTGTGAAAGACAAACTTCACTGTGGCCATTGCATGTAATTTATTCTCAAAAGAACTTTAATTAGCTAACATTAGCATTTTTTTAAAAAAATGAGAATATGAAAAGTATCACAGTTTTCTCTTTCCAGTTTAGGTCTCTTCCAAAGAGACCTATGTATAAAAGGTGCTGTTTTTCATATATTCATTGGCAACAATGAATTGTGCATGAAGCACAAAGACTGCCTCTCAGGAAATAAAGCCATCAGAAGAACAGCTTCAGTCTTTGGAAAAGTTTTTTTTTTTTTTCAACTACAACTAAGTTTAGAAGCTTTCTAAACAGAGTTTAGAAAACTCTAGACCTTTCGGTATCCAAGAAGGCAGCTTTATAAGCGCCCTCTGTCCAAGGAGCTTTGTTAAGCAGCTGAGGGAAATCCGGCCCAGCTTCTGTATCGTCTGCTGTAGGGTCAAGTGGCCCGGGTGCTCATTCAGTGCCACCAGTACTTCTCATAACGCTGATTTAACGTTTCTGTTACAGTGCTCACGAAGAAGCACGCATGTGCGTCAACTCAGTCTGTTCACCTGTAAGATGAAAGGGTTGGGTTCTGTGTTTTCTGCGGTCTTTTCCAGTTCTAGTCCCTCACTCGTCTGATGGTGTACGTTATTTTTGGTTACAGCTCATGCTGCCGCATTCAGATAGGCCCACCCTCTCTGTAGGCACAATGACCGCGGCAAAGGGGGGAAAAATTAACTTTCCACAACATTGCCAGATTGTTTGATCCCTCAGTGCAAATCCTTTCACGAAAACACTCTGCATAAGTCACTGTTTAGCTGGAGTTTCATTATTCACAGAAGGCCATTAAGACTTCTTATTAAACAATGTAACTTTTGTGGCAGAAGTAGATTGCATAGATCTCTAAATTCACATTATCATATATTTGTTTTCTCCAGTCAGGTCTTCAACATGTAAGATATTGGGCAGTAAGGCCGTATACAGGCATGAGGTAAAACTTCTTGACGTGAGCCACACCTTTTAGGGTGAGAAATCTTTTTTGTTTTGTTTTTTGGTCAGTTGCACAGAAGAGGCTGCTCATCTGATTTATTTTACTGCTGGTATATGACATTGGGAGAGTGCAGGTTGGCAAGGGTTAAGCTGGAAAATATGCTTCACTTTTTGGCAAGTAACTAGACACACATGGTCAAAGCTTTAAGAAATCTGGGACCTACCTGCCCAGATGCAGTAGAGAATACAACTAATTTTATTCTGAAATATATAACAATATTGCTTTCACCTGCTAAGACTTAGTCTTCAGTTTGACATATATATAATATATATATGTTGACTTTTAAGTTATAGACAGTTTTTACTTCATTATAAAATATTAACTTTAAAATCAGTCATTGAAAAGCAATTGGATACAAAGCATCTAATCACAAAAATAGAAAAGGTAATCAAAGAGCACTTCAGAAAGAAACTCTGGAGCCAAAGGCATTTAGTTGTTCTTCTCCAGCAACTTGTAATAATCTGTCAGGACTTTCCATGCTTTGGGGGCCATGAAGCCATCTGGGGGATTTTCTCCTTCCCGAGCTAGCTTCCTCATACGAGTTCCTGAGATGAAGTCAAACTCGTTGTGCCTGTCACAGGGTAGCAACAAAGAACTCCGTGTAAGTAATTAACATCTGCCTTAAAGATTCCTGGAGTAGGTTATAGGGTTTTAGACCCACATTTTTTCTTTCTGTAAAATGTTTCATCTTTGAAAGTGGGCAGTTCACTATATCTTTGGTTTGGGAACTTGCAGAAGAAAAGGAAAATAATGGCAGCTATCCTTTCAATATTTACTATGCACCTACTCTGTTCATGGGAAGTGTCTTGCAGCTGGGGACTGTCTTCTATTTCTCTGCCTACTTCTGTGAGCCCTCACTCAGCATGGGGAGTGAGTGCATATGAATACTGATTCCAGTCTGTTTCTACATTGCTTCCTTTCACTTAATGTGCCAGGCACCAGTGCATGCTCAAGGCATGCATGTTGAAAGAAATATTTATGGACCATCTACCATATGTAAGGGACTGTGCTACAACTTTAGGGGATACAAAATGTTTAAAACCAGGTGTCTCAAGGGACTCATTCCAGTTAGGAGCCTGTGAAAAGGCACTGAGAATTTTCCAAAGGGCCAGAATTGTGTTCGTCATTCCAGCTGTGCAAATGTCAATTAAAGAATTTTGCTCTGAAAACCTACCTTGCTGGATCATAGAAATCCATGGCTTTTTTGACTTTGTTGTAGGCAGCCACTCGGAATGGAATGATTTCCACAGAGGTGAGGCCAGGTGCCATGCTCAAGACCTTGCCCCCATGAGTGGGTTCATACAGGTCCTTCTTGGTTTCAGGGTGGGGCATTCCTGCAGGGTCCCTGCCCACAATGTAGAAATTGGCCCCCGCAATCATCCGGGCCCTGCAGTGCCACTGGACCTGGGAGATGTCACATAAGGGACATACTGGTCATTATGGGCCAACTCTGGGTCCCTGTTTATGGAAATACTTTTATTCTGCTTTAAAAGTAATTTAGTGATGTGGGTCACCTAAGAGTTGCAAGAAATTTGGTGAGGTTCTAAGACTCCATGCTCTCTTCTTCATGCTTGGTTATGGTGGGTAGGATAGGAGCTTTTTTTTTTTTTTTTTTTTTTTGAGGCAGAGTCTCACTCTGTTGCCCTGGCTAGAGTGAGTGCCGTGGCGTCATCCTAGCTCACAGCAACCTCAAACTCCTGGGCTTAAGCAATCCTCCTGCCTCAGACCCCCAAGTAGCTGGGACTACAGGCATGCGCCACCATGCCCGGCTAATTTTTTTATATATATATTTTTAGTTGTCCAGCTAATTTATTTCTATTTTTTTTTTTAGTAGAGACGGGGTTTTGCTCTTGCTCAGGCTGGTCTCGAACTCCTGAGCTCAAACAATCTGCCCGCCTTGGCCTACCAGAGTGCTAGGATTACAGACGTGAGCCACCACGCCCGGTAGGATAGGAGCTTTAAAGATAAGAATCCTCCCTCTTATAACTTGAAGTCGTGTTTCCTTGTCCCTTCTCCAAACAGGCTATCAGACCAGGAACAATCAGATCTTACCGTTCTACAGAACTACGTGAATTTTACTTTCCAGTGCCTTCCTATTCAGAATGAATCGCAGTTTAAAAGAAATTACTCCAATATCCCATTATCTGACTGCTATTAATGAGCTAATTACCTTTCACATGCAGATATCGATTCCAGTTCAACACAACACTTGCCCTCTTTAAAGCTCAGACAGAAATATAAAGGATGGAGAGGAGAGCTAGGGGCCCGGAACTTTGATTGAAGAGAATTAATCCATTAAACTCAGTTTGGGGCATTCCAAAAGATTGAGACCCTTTCAGTTCATCATACTTGCCACAAACTTGTTCAAATCCACTACACTGGTGGTACAGTGGACAAAGAAAATCTCTGTTTGATAGCTTCACTGTGCTATGATGAAAGGGAGACATTTATCTTTTAAAGGCATCCCCTTCTAATGAAGCTCAAGGGCATGGTGAATCACTTAGAGTAACGGGAACTTCCTGGAATTGAATATTAGGTTAGACACAACTTGCCCTGTTAAGCTTCATTATCCACCTCATTCACATGCCAACCTCCATATTCTCAAATGCAATGAATGCATAATAGGTTTGGTTTCATGTTTCTAGCATTTTTCAAATACTAAATGGAAACATAAATAAGTTGGATAAAGAAGAGAGACGGATTCCAGAATCTGCTCATGAGGAAGAAGAAGCGATTCCAGGTGTAGAGGATGTTAGAAAAGGCATAAAGGCCTGGGAAAAGGGACTGTGAGGAAGGTGATATCTGACAGTCCTGCAAACAAGACTTGGGATGTGATTGTTATCAGCCAGCTGCACACAGCAGGCTTTGCAATGTGTGAAAGCATGACTGGTGTTGGGTCCCTGCCCTTTTCTTTATAGTCTTAAGGACCAACAAGGAAATAACAAGATAATTACAAGTTTAATGTGTATCACTAAATAGACTTGTTTAGAACAATATGCTTACTATATGACACCGAAGATTTTATCTACATGTTCTTTAGGGTAAAAACACATACCTTTCCCTACAATAAATATGGAGATTTGGAGAGCTCTTCGAAAGAAAAAGAGTCTCTGCTCCTCCTTCAGCCCGAGATTGTGCTCTGAAGCATTCTTCATTGCGCTGTAACACTGGTAGAAACCACGGTCTCGGGCTGAATGATCTCTACAATTGGTGACCCCGACGTGATTCGGCCAACTCACGCATGGAGAAGTTTCGACGGACTAATGGGGAATCCTGGGAAGGGATGGTCCTGACTGCGTAAGAGGATGGGGCCGACTTGTGTAATATTAGAGGGGGATTTTATCATTTAATTGTGAGTCATGGGTCAGGAACCCACTACAGAACAGAAATTGTACTTTAAGACTTTACAGCAATTATTAAAAGCAATTCAGTGTACAGTGGAACCAAAGGCATTACAACAATTATTATTTTAGGCTCGTGAACATTGTCCTTGGTTTCCAGATGCTGGCACTCTTGATCTCAAGCTCTGGGAACAGGCAGGATGAGTTTTAAAGAAACGATTTGAACAGGGTCTTATGACTGATGTTACTATACTGACAACCTGGAGCTTAGTACGTAGTGCTCTTTATCCATCATATACAACAGACAGTGATGATCCAGATCGCCCCTCTCTGCTAAGGTGGAGGGGGCGCCTCATGAAGAAGCAAGGAGCCTATGGATAAACCAGAGCCTCTAATGTCTTTTGATTCTGCTGAGTCAGCTGAAAAGGAATTGCCATTTCCACTACCATTAAAAGAGCAGCCATCTGCCCCTATGGCGTAACCTCCTCCTCCGCCTCCTGTGCCATTGTCAGGAGGCACTTACCATGAACCACTGCCATGGACTCCACCCCCACCTAAAGTATTTTCAGAAACTGATTCGGGGGCACGACCCTCCTTGATCGAGGGTTGTCTAAAAGAAGGGTTAAAATCAGGAGACCCTGACGCCTTTATGGCTGCATTCCCTGCTGTGGTAAGAAATAATAGGAGACAACATGAAACTCTCCCTTTTACTGTGTTTAAGAAACTAAAAAAGAGTATCCAAGAAAATGGGCCTCAATCTCCTTTTACCACCCGCATGGTTAAGGCATTGGGAAATAGTTACGAAATGACTCCTTTTGATTGGAAAACAGTAGTTCGTGATGCTAGATTATTTCCCCAATGTTCAGCTTTAGCCATTCAAGCATGGAAACGTATCCCTATTAGTCAAACACTGGGATCATCTGTTACTGTAAGACAAGGCGCTACCGAACCTTAAATCGATTTTATCAATAGACAGCAAACAGCAGTGGAAAGACAAGTGCCTAACCAGGACGCGCTAAGCTCCTCATCCTGCAATTGGCTTGTGAAAATGCTGATAAGGATTGTCAAACAGCATTAGCTCCCATCCGTACCTCCTCCTCAGATGTGAGAGCTTTTATTAAGGCCTGTCAACATGTGGGCACTACTACTCATTTAGCTCAAACCTTTGCCACCACGATGCAAGGAGGTGCTTGCTATAATTGTGGAAAATCTGGCCATTTAGCAAAAAATTGTAAACAATCACGGAACAATTTTTGGAAAGAAAAACAGCCTTCTAAAACCTGCCAGAAGTGTGGAAAGTGCAAATATTGGGCTAATCAGTGCGGATATAAATTTGATAAGGATGGTAATCCTATATAGGGAAACTTGAAGAGGGGTGCTCCCTTCGGTGCCCTCAAAAATGTCTGGGGGGCAATGGCCAGTCAAACCTCTCCAGCCCTAGCCAATGAAATACCGTTGCAGACCTCTCGGCCGCAACAAACGGTAGTGCAGGGTTGGACCTCTCAACAATAGAGGAGATAGTTCTCAAGGAAGAAGATAAGGTGTATGTACCTTATCGCCACAGGAATCTTTAGGCCACTACCTAAAGGATTTTTCAGGCTATTATTAGGGAGACCTAGTTGAACTTTAAAAGGAGTACAAGTTTTACTTGGAGTAATTGACTCCGATTATCATGGAGAAATCAAAGTTATGGTAAAAGCTGTAGGCCTTCATGTCCTACCAGCAGGAACATGAATAGCTCAACTCCTTTTAACTCCTTACTTACAGGGAAATGCTCAAAATAAACAAAGAAATAGTGAGGGATTCGGTCATTGTGGTTCTACTGCCTTTGGTCTGCCCCAGTAACTACACAGAGGCCTCAATTAATAGACACTATTAAAGGAAAACAGTTTCATGGAATTACAGACACAGGATCAGAAAAATCTATCATAGCTTCTCAACACTGGCCTACTGAATGGCCTACAGTTAATGCCCCTGTTACGGTTCAAGGTGTCAGAGATTATCAAACATGCAATTTAAGTGCCTTTCATCTTACATGTGAAGGGCCGGAAGGAAAACAGGACAATATCCAAACTTTTGTTATGAATATTCTCTTCTCCTTATGGGGAAGAGATTTACTTCAACAGTGGGGACTATAACTTTCTATTTCCCCTTTTTAGGAGGGGCCACTGCTCTAATCCAGGCTTTAAAACTGCAGTGGAAAACAAATAAACTGGTATGGGTTGAGCAGTGGCCCAGTAAAGCTGAAAAACTTTTATATCTCAAGGAACTCGTTCAAGAACAGTTAAAAGCTGATCATATAGAAGAATCCAATAGTTCTTGGAATACTCCTACTTTGTTATACCTAAAAAGTCTGGAAAATGGAGACTATTGCACGATCTTAGAGCTATTAATGCTGTTATGAAACCTACGGGCCCTTTACAGCCTGGATTACCCTCCCCAGTTATGATCCCAGAAAATTGGCCATTAATAGTCATAGATCTTAAAGATTGTTTCTTTACAACTTCCTTACATCCCGATGATAGAGAAAAATTTGCCTTTATAGTACCCGTAATCAACCATCAAGAATCAGTAGCCAGATATCAGTGGAAAGTTCTGCCTCAGGGAATGATGAATAGCCCCACCATCTGTCAATATTTTGTTCATAAGGCCCTATAGCCTGTCAGACAGATGTTTCCAAAGACAAAAATATTCCATTATATGGATGATATCTTACTTGCTGCAGCTACCACACAGGAAGTTGAACAAACCTGTAAGATAGTAACTAAGTCACTCGTGAACAGGGATTACATATAGCACCAGAAAAGGTGCAAACTTCTACTCCATGGAAATATTTAGGTTATATTGTAACACAGAGAAACATTCACCCATAATTTACAAAAATAAATATTCCTCAACCTCTTACTTTAAACTCTTTACAACACCTACTAGGAC